GAGGCCCTGGGTTTGATTCCTCAGCACCACATAAGCAAAAAGAAAAAAGCTGGAAGTGGCGCTGTGGCTCAAGTGGTAGAGTGCTAGCCTTGAGCTGCTGAGGGACAGCGCCCCGGCCCAGAGTTCAGGCCCATGAACGGAACCCCCCCAAAAAAAAAAGAAGAAGAAGAAGAAGATAGGTAGAGAGCCAGTACAGATGAGGTTTCTGCAAAACTGCAGTTTGCCACTTCTCTCCAACACTGGAAACTTGTGGAATGAGGGAGATACAAGCTTACTTTATTGGCTCTGGAATTCCTTAGCATTATCTATGCAGTCCACCCAATGAGCATGTAGAAAACAGTGACCACAATGGAGACGAATCAACAGTAGGACTCATGTGATCAGTTCATTTCCACCACTTGTAGAAGACAGCTTAAAAGCTTCTGGCTGTGAAATGCCAAACCCTCAAGAATACTGATCCACTTAAGCATGAAATTACAAATGAGTACTACTTGTCCAACAAAACATCCTTCGTATTCACAAAATTCATGTGAAAATTGTACAAAATCAATGCATACTTTTATGGGGGGGGGCATTGTACCAATAACCATCTCTTAGCCTCAAAATTGGATTTGTCTAACCTCATAAAGCTTTATTTGGCAGCTGTTCTCTGGTCTCATGGTTGGTGCTGCTGCCCCAACCTCCTTGGCTGGATCAGAGAAGGCCTCCTTCACTCCATTCTCCCTATCTCTGGTGATATTCAGTAACTTCTTTCCAATCAATGGTAGGAAACAGCTCCTCATTTATTTATTTATGTTTTGGTCAGTCATGGGTCTTGAACTCTGGGCCTGGGCTTTGTCCCTGAGCTCTTCAGTTCAAGGCCAAGTGCTCTACCACTTGAGCCACAGCACCACTTCCGGTTTTCTGGTAGTTAGAGTTAAGAGTCTCAGGGACTTTCCTGCCTGGGCTGCCTCTGAACCATGATCCTCAGATCTCAGCCTCCTGAGTAGCTAGGATTACAGGCATGAGCCACTGGCCCCCAGCTAACAGCTCAAAATTTTAATCATTGGCATGCTCTAAGGCCCTCAGGTCTGGCTCTGTTATCTTCAACTGGACATGTAGCTGTCTCTTGGTGGGGAACTTTGGAGTCAAGGCCTGAGTTTGGAGTCCTGGCTCTGCCACTTCCTAGCTATATGATCTTGAGGTGCTGATTCAGTTGAAAAAAAAGGTATTTTAAGATCTTCCATGCTATCTATCAGTCAGGAACTTGATATGTCTACTTTATCACATACGAAATATGGTCTAGTCATTCTAAAATCAATATAGTTATTGTGAAGATTAAATCTTGATGTGTACCAGGTTGGTCTAAGAACTCAGTTTTTCTACCTCTGCTCCAATGTTGGTATTTCAGGTATGAGCCACAACACAGTCCCATAAAGACAGGAAGGGGAAAAAGAAAAGGAAAGGAAAAGACAAGGCAAGCATGGTGGCATAAACTTGTAATCTCAATTTCTGAGAGGCTGAAGCCATCCTGGGTTACAAAGTGAGACCTTGTCTTAAAACTAAAAAGCCAGGTGCTGATCGCTTACACTCATCATCCTACACAGGGGGCTGAAACCTGGAGGATCTCAGTTTGAAAGCTAGCCTGGGCAGAAAAGTCTACCAGGCATGAGCAAAAAACCAAGTGAAAGCATAATGACTTGAGTTCAAGCCCAGTACCAGCACAAAAATAAAGGAAAGAGTCCCTCATATATGGCAAATAGGTTAAAAAGTATTCTCTTGGTTTCCCATTGTTACCATTTCAGGTTCACATCCTATCCAGCCCCACTTGGGACTACAAATCATAATCTCTGTGCTTCTGAGCCCCTGCAAAGGGACAGCCACACCCCACCAAGCCACACCCACCATCACCCAGCCAATTATCCTCCTTCCTACTCCCAAGCATTTCAAATGAAATTGCTACAGTAGACAGGCCCCAGCCTTGTCTGCTAGGATCTTAACGTACCTGAGACATTCTTGACATTGCTTTCAATAGGAGCAGGATTATCTGTAGTCAGGCCTTGTATGATGGCAGCTAATGGAACAAATCACAAAGGTACCTGCTACGTTCCAAGCATTGTGCCAGGCGCCCTTCATAGCTTGCCCCAGCTTATTCTCTCAGCACTGGGATGGAACACTTCACAGATGGGGGACTGAATTACAAGAGGCTAAGTCATATGGCTAGTAAGTAGCCAAACTGATATCTGAATTCTGGAGTCCAGCTCCATATGAGGTGCTCTTAAACAGCTGTTCATGAAGTAAGTGTGTGTGTGTGTGTGTGTGTGTGTCAGCTGTTCATGAAGTGTGTGTGTGTGAGCAATCTCTTTGCTGGAAGCTAGTGTTCTACCACTTGAGCCATAGCTACACTTCTGGCTCTTCACTGGCTAATTGGAGGTGAGAGTCTCATGAAGTCCAACTCCATGTGAGGTGCTCTTAAACAGCTGTTCATGAAGAGAGTGTGTGTGTGTGTGTACCAGGACTTGAACTCAGGGCCTGGGCACTATCTCTTTGCTGAAAGCTAGTGTTCTACCACTTGAGCCATAGCTACACTTCTGGCTCTTCACTGGCTAATTGGAGGTGAGAGTCTCATGAACTTCCCTGGCTTCAACCTGCAATCTTCATGTTTCAGCCTTCTGAATAGCTAGGATTGCAGGTGTGAACCAATGGCATCTGGTTTATGAAAATCCTTATGAAAGGGTCAGGCTGGTCCCTGGCATCACACAAGCAAAAGCCAGGTGATAGGCATTCTCAGGACCAGCAGCTTGCCTGGGGTCCTGAGGCCCTGGTGAAGAGCAGGCTAAACAGGCAGCACTCACCTTTCGGGCTGTGCTTGCAAAATTAGCCCCACAGGCCTTGCAACTTGGCTCCGAGCCTGTTGGGGAAGGGAAGGAACTGTACCCAGGATTGGAATAGGCTTGCGTCCTGGCTCCCTGTTGTGGGGGGACCTCCTCAGGCTGTCCATCCAAGCAGAACCAGTTGCAGCAGGTTGCCCACATGATAGAATCTGGTACAGGGAGGAAAGGGGAAAAGGTCAGAGTTAAGATCCCCAATATGGTAGTTTCTATCCCCAAGGGCACAGGTGAGCAGAGACTTGCATATCCTTATCTGGTGAGTGGAGCAGAGAACTTATTTTCAGGGGCCTTGGGTATCCTTGTCAACTCCTCTACAATCAGTTACTGGTCCACAGATACATGATGCTGCCAGGGCATGATGGGCTACCAGATTGGTGTGGTACCTTTGAAAGGTTGCTGATTCCTGATGGGCTTGAATTTAAAATAAATTTCACATACATTTTTTTTCTTACCTTAGCAATTAGAATTTCCTTAACACCCACTTTATCTAGGAACATCATCCCTAAGGCTGGCAGACAGACATATGGAACTTATCTCACATACACACCTCCATACTCAGATTGACTTTGGTGATGGAGGGTATGAATTGCTTTATACAGATAAGGCAAGCTGGGCACAGTGGTATGAACCTTAATACCTGCTCAGGTACTTGGGTGAGGATCAAAAGGCTCACTTAGAGTCTACCTGGCCCACCTGGCCAACATACCAATAATCTATCTAAAAGAAAAAAAATATATATATATATGTGTGTATATATATATATATATATATAAAAATATAGATAGACAGACAGACAGACAGATAGATAGATAGAAGCAAATTAGGCTCAAAGAAGTCTAACATACTGCTAGTATACAGTATCACTTCAGCAACAGCTCAACTTCTGGCTGTTTTGCCGATGCGGGCTTTCCTGCCTGGCCTGGCTTTGAACCACAGATCTCAGCCTGCTGAGTAGCTAGGATTACAGGCATGAGCCACAGATGCCTGACAAGAGTTGAGATGGGCTTGCTGCCTAGCATGCACGAAGCCCTAGGTTCAATTACTCAGTATCTCATAAACAGAAAAAGCCAGAAATGGTGCTGTGGCTCAAGTGGTAAACTACTGGCCTTGAGCAAAAGAAGCTCAGGGACAATGCCTAGGCCCTGAGTTCAAGTCCGAGGACTGGCATGTATGCATAAATAAATAAATAAATTCCTATGTCTTCTGACTCCAAACCTAAGGTCCTTTTTCCTTATGCCATGTTGAACTTTGACCTGCCCTCCTATGAACCAATGATTTGTACCCCAAACTTATATAAATGTCTTAGAATAACTGTTTCTTATGCACGTCATTTCTTTTCTACCTTTAAGACCCAGGTCCCCTAGGTTTCTTATCCATACCTGTAGTGGATCCTAGCCTGTAGAAGATGCTCAACAAACATTAGTTCCCATGCTCTATCGGGGCCAGTGCAGGTTAATCGAGACATCTTGGACATTATTCCCATTTTACATTTCAAAGGGGCCACAGAGACTGAGGACTTCTTTGCTCACAGAACAAAGGATCCAGTCGCACATGTCAGAATAACCTGAAGATGGTTAAGAGCAAGCATCTACTAAATAGCAAGCTTTGCTGCAATGTGGGAGTGCTGAACTCAGAATCCAGCAGTCAGTGTAGACATTCTGAGCCTCAGCTCTGCTTCCAGAGATAATAAATGAAACATCTAATGTTACTATTCAATAATCAGGTCACACAAAAAGAATGGTATTTTCTACTGTCTTCACTGCTTCAACAATGGCACTTTCATAGTCCAAAGACACAGAAAGCTGTGTCTAAGGGCCCAAGGTGGGTCATGACACGAAAGAAAGAAGGGGACCCCGCCAGAAGGAATCACGTCCTGGGACATGAGGATTCTAACAGGCCGCTGGCTTCTTCAGGGACTTAGCTTGCCAACATGGTCTGCAATGTACCTGTGCTATGTCCTTCCCTTCTGTAAGCACCTCACCTACTTGCCTTGACCTCTCTGGGACTCGGGACTGTAATGGTCTCACAGTACCCAGTCACAGCAGGTGGCTCAGCAAGGACTACTGAACAAGTGAGTCATAATATTTAAATTCCCCCTAGCCAACACATTCATTCCATTTCCTGAACATCAAAACCATTTCTGACTCAGTATCTCTCTTCTGAACACTCTAAGGTCTCAGAAGACAAGGACCTAATCTGCCTTATTCACAAGAAATAGTTCATATGGGATAAGGATGTGAAGTTTCCTCCCAGCACAGGTGGTACAGTAAAAAGGCTCTTTTTGTTGGCACAGAATGAGAACAAAGGAATAGGAACTCACTATTTTTTAAATCTCATGTTGATAAGCATACTTATCAGCAGTCAGGGTCACAGCCCTGCTATCAGCTTAGGGAGCTGCCTGCAAGTTATACCTTCCCCGACTTCATGTTTCTCTTCTGAACATGCTACAGGCCAGGAGGCACTAAGTAAATACTAGTTTTGACCATCTGCATTGTACATGCCTTTACCACATTTTCTCTGGGAGGGCAGAGATAGAAAGTATGCCTAGAGACTTTGCAATTGCCACTTATTTTTCCTGTCCCTTGTGAAAGGGCCAAGGCCAGGGGTGATTCATTAACTACTGGGAAAAGCTCTCCTGCGGCAGGTTTATAACCTTTCCTGAAGCAGCTTCCCTTCCCCCCACTAGGTGAGGGTAGTGTAGCCCTCGCCCTGGAGGAGTTCACAGTCTAGGAGAGAACTAGAAATGTAAAGCCCACAAGTGAAAGGTGAGGGCAGACAGCACTGATTGAGGTCTGTGCAGGGGCAGTACAATGGTGGAAATCCAGCTCGACAAGGGCAAGAGGCATGTCAGAACAGACTTCTCAAATGAGGCACCACATCTCAAAGTGAGAGTACACAGAAATTATCAGCACGTTGGGAACAGAAGACATTTTGAAAAAGAAACAAATGCATTCACATTGGAACCAGAAGATGCTTTGAACAGTGGGTATGGGCAGACCAGCACTTGACACAAGTGAATGAGGAGCCATGGAAAACCCTGCTTATTGGGGTAAAGGCTGGGACTTTATTTTACATGAAGCAGAACATGGGGCAGGGGATTGGCGGTGATTGAGGTTTCCTGATTTCACTTGTCTGTCAGAAAGCGCTTAAGCAGTAAGCAGACTGGAAAAAGAGATCCACAGGGGAGGGCTAGGAGCAGGAGACTGCAGCAGTCCTACTGGAAAGATGCAATGGAGTAAAAGCTAGAGCAGGTAGCTCTCTGGCAGAAGTAGCTAGACGTAACCAACTGTGGTAGTACATGCACTCAGGAGGCAAAGATATGATGATTGAGACTTCAAGGTCAGCCCTCCCTACATAGAGATTCTATCTCCAAAATATGAATAAATAGAATGATGGGAAAACAAAGCTCCAGGACAAATCCCAGAACTCCTTATTTATATGACAGAATAATTAGTAGAATCATTTGTTGGGATAAAGATCTCAGGAGGAGGTACATGCAGGTGTGTGGAGAAGAGCACAGGTAGGGTAAGGTAGGGTAAGATGGCCTGTAGAACATGCTGGTCTATAAGAGGGTCCACATATACATGGGTAGGCTAAAGACAAAGGTGGGAATCCTTGTCTTACTGGATGTCTATGGGCAGGGAACCAACTAGATGACTGGACGGTCTGGGAAGAAGAGAAGCTGGCTGGTTGGCAAGCAGATGAGAGCAAAACTAGTTAGAAATGAGGCAGGAAGGAAACTTGGGGGAGGGGAAGTAAAACTGAAGCGTATTGTGAGTTCCAAAAATGACCCAGAGAAGAGAACACAGAAAGGAACACAAAACATTCATAGGACTTAGTTTTGGGAATGCGTGAGTGTGCTCTTGGTCTGAGCAGTTTAGAAACAGACACTCATAACCACAGGTTGGAAAGTGAATGAGAAGTGAGAATTAGTAAAACTATAGTAATAATTTATTTTTTCAAGAACCAACTATGGTCTGGGCATATGGTTCATGCCTGAAATCCCAGCTTCTCAAGAGGTACAGAGATCAGGAGGATCATTATTTCTGTTTGTTTGATTTTTGTGCCAGTCTTGGCGCTTGAACTCAGGGCCTGGGTGCTGTCCTTAAGCTTTTTTTGTTCAGAACTAATGCTCTACCACTTGAGTCCAATAATAAGTTTTTGGTAATGAATTGGAGATAAAGAGTCTCACAGAGTTTCCTTCCTGGGTTGGCTTCAAACTATGATCCTCAAAGTAGCTAGGATTATAGGCTTGAGCCACTGGTGCTTGGCAAGGATGGTTATTTAAGGTCAGCCCAGGCCAAAAGTTCAAGAGACCCCTATCTCAATCAATAAGCTAACTATGGTGACCTATGCTTGTCATTCCAGCTATCCTGGTAGAATAATCACAGTTCCAGACTGGTCTTGGGGGAAAAAGTGAGATTTTACATGAAAAGATAAGGTAAAAAGGACTGTGGTATGATCAAATGGTAAAGTACTGTCTAGCCCTGAGTTCTAACCACAGCATCTCTCTCTTTCTCTCTCTCTCTTTCTTTCTCTCTCTCTCTCTCTTTCACACACACACACACAAAGACAACTATGAAAGAGAGAAAGAAGGAAGAGATGAAGAGGACCAAGGTCATTAAGATAAATGTAGACATATTCACTGACTACAGAGGAAAACCAAAAGACAAAGCAATTGCAGAGGAGGGAGCTGGCCATCAGGAGGGCAATAAGAGTGAGGAGAAGCAGAGAGTTAACCAAAGAGAAGTGTATTATCAACAGAAAGGTGAGCAAATGAAAGAAAAATTTAGCTTCAAGAAGAAAATAAACCTTTCTGTGGCTGTAACTCAGACATAGACTACTTGCTTACCATACATGAATGAAGACTTGGCTTTGATCTCCAGCATTGCCAAAAAGAGAGAGGAGAGAGAGAGAGAGGTGAGAGAGAGAGAGAGAAACTTCCACACACTGTAAAATTTTCTCTAAGAGTTAAGGATTCCATCAGAATGGAAAAACCCAGCTGGTAAGGCACCATCAGTGGGAAACAACAAGGCCACATATGGCCAACAGCAAACTTTACCCAGCATCTAGGAAGCAACAGCTAGGTGAGGCTCTGGGAATACCATAAGGGAAGGGATAAGGCCATTGCCAGGGTAGGCATTGGACTTGG